CTCAATGGAAATCGAGTCAAAGAAACGACCCCCCTGGCCTGTATTGTGAACTTGCCAGTTACACCCGCTGATCTAGTTTTCTTATGTACAACGTCCATTACCAACTACTAACATGTCTTTGTTGTTATACCTCTATGGCCTTGCTCTTAGTTTCCATACAGTGGCTGTTTGTCTTCTCTCAGGTTGTGTTTTTTTTTACTTTGTGTCCAGGAACAGTTTCATTGAATGTGATCTAAGGGAATAAAACACTCTAACACTTCTTGTCACCCCTTAGAAGTACTCTGTGTTCTCTTCCATAATGATGTGTTCCCATCCACTCTACTTCCCAAACACCATCACGCACTGCAGTGCTGTCTTTGGAGCTACAAAAATGAAACCAGGTTCAAGAGAATAACATGAGATGACATGGACTTTACTTGGCTGCACTGGATCCAAATAAGTCGCACATTCTGTTGTATACATCCTTATGTGCTGTACATTTCATCCACTGACCTCACCTCTACCCCTAACCTTTGAAAACCTCGCCTTAAGTTCTGACATCAACAAGAAGTAGCAACTTGAATTTCGAAATCCTGTTCTGGTCAGGTAGATAGAAAGGTTCATCCATCTTTGCTGACTTCACTTGGCAGACGATTCACTCGCAGCTGCCTGGGAGCTTGATTTTTAGTTCTTTCTCAGGTTTTGAAACATCATTATTTCTAATTTTTCAAGAGACATTAGCTGAAGCTGAGTCTTTTGTTGTGACTGCCAGAGTGTAGCTCATAACCTGACTACAAAGATCCAAAGAGAAGATATAACAGGTCAGCAGGATATTACAAGGATGGTACAAGTTTTCTGAAATGTTATGTTTACATATGCAAATCAGGTATTATCTATCTAACTTTGCACCCTGTCTGTTTTTTTAGAATAGAAATTAGAATATTAGATGAAAGTAGATTCAAAAGTCTTTTTCTGTTTTGTGGCTACATTAAAGGTTTTTACAGAGAGGATTTTGGATGTCTGTTTTTATCACTCCAGCATGCCAACAGCCAAAAAAAAGTCATTTTTTGCCATGTTTTTCACAATTAAACAATTCTATTAATGAGGCTTTGAATAATGTAGGAATAAACCCCTCAGAATACAGAAATAAATAAAAATAAAGAAACGGATATTTGTAAATTCTACTGGTTGTAGGGATTTGGGGTTCAGACGATGAGAGATTATAAAAAAAAAAAGAAGTATTTTTTTGACAAATAAAATTCACAAGTAACTAAAACAACAAACTAGATATTAGCATTAAAATGTGTAAGTTGGTTACTTACATTAAGAATTTTTTTTGGTATTGCAAATTTTCATATTTGTTATGCTTAAATGTACAAATTGGTTCTCGTCTCGATAAAGGTGCTCTAATTTCTATAAATTTATAAAATAATTACCTAAATGAGTCCTAAATTCTGCATAGTTTCTTTCCACTAGTCTGCACGAAACCAAAATCTCAACATTAACCAAGGCTTTAAAACAGAACGAAAAAATAAAAGTGGTGCTTGCCTCTGATTTCTTCCCTAAAATGAATGCAGAGTTCACAAGAATAAAAATAAAAGAGGGAGAGAAATGAAGGACATTAACCATAGCCTCTCTCCCCATGTCTTTGTGTCTCTCTCTTGTTCAGTGCCTCTCTTCCTACTTCTGACACATGTCGCCCTGGCATGCATGGAAAGGCCTGACCTTTGGAAAGTTTAGCACTTTAAATATTTAGGCTTGGGTTATGATGGATCCTCCAGGCCCTGCAGCAATGTGCAAAGCCTCTGATTAGGGCTGCTGTCAGAGTCATTTAGCTGAGTGTCTGGCTCTCGGTGGCGCTCTCTGTTTGACAGGCAAGCCTTTTAAACAAACAGAGGTCCCAGTGGCAAAGCAGACAGGGCACCCTGTGCAGCACAAACACCCAACGCTCTGAGAGAAACCACTCAGCCCACTGACAGCTGCAAAAGAAACCACTGCCCACTGTCTGTTGTGATCTTTAAGGCACGCTGTCTTTTTGCTCACTCACTTTCTTTCAAATAGTCTGTACTTGTAGCCCTGCCTCTATTATCCTGTTGCTGATCATTTCTTCTTCCTTGCTTTTTTCCCCTCCACTCTTTCCTCCACAGCGATATTTTTTTTCCTGACAGTTTACATCTGTTTTTTGTTATCCGCTCTAGAAGGCAGAGCCTTGCTGGAGTCGAACATCAAAGTTTCATCTGCGTTGTGTTTTGAGTAAGATTTATTAAGTTGATCGCCTGATGATCTCTGGGAAAGGCTTATGCTCTTAATTTGTTGAACATCACTACTCATTATCAGCTGAAATTTAGAATAGATGCTTTCTGTCTTGTGCCTGCATCATCCCGTGATTAGGACAGCTTACATCGATGTTCACATTGAAATATATCTGAGCCAGCCTTTTCATCTCACTCTGAGACAATCTCCCGTGGCATCAATCCTGTAAATATATGAGTCTTAATATGTGTGTCCTATTCTGTATTCAGAGGAAGAGCCAAGTCAGCAGCTCCAGTATTAATACATGAGAAATGAGCAGAGCCCATAAGAATTAAAGGGTAAGACTCCCCTTATTAAGATGTAAATTCCGGGGGAAAACTTGCCGAAATGAGGATACAGAGAAGTTACTGTCAACTTTAGCCTACTTATGCATTTCTAAGAGGAATTGTTGTGTTGTAGTTGAAATTAGATACACACAGCAAAGCACCTTGTGCAGTTTTTTTCACTCATTTTCAGCACAAGATCAACCCGCCTCAACTAATATCCAACCAATACTTTATGGAACAATTTACACTTTTGGCAACATTATCTAGTGACAGTTTACATGGCAACTAACACGGTAATGCCGTGCGTGTGTGTTTATGTGCATGCGGGTGTACGTGTGTTTTTCTTTCTTTTTTTTATACCTCTCTCTACCTCTGCTTCTCTCTCATTTCAAATTTGCACTTAACACCTTGCTGGGGAAAGGCTTCTCATTCATCAACAGTGTTTGTCCCAGTGACAAGCAGGGCGCCTCCTGCATATCAATATCAGCTAAGACAATGCTGAGCCTGTAACCTTCAGCTAAATGTCATTCTGCTTAATCCTATTTGAAAATTAAACATTGAAAAACCTTTAGCGTACCTTCCTGTCTTCCTTCCTCCCTCGCTCCCTCCTTTATTGGCTGCCATTCCTCCAGCTTTCCGTTTCCCCCCTCTCACTCCCGTGCTGCTTTTGTTTTGCACACTATGTGACATTTGCATTGTTTTGTTTGTGCGTTTGTATCTTATGAACGTTATTCGGTGGAGCTGATTTTAATTTGATGTCAGCGAAAAAAAAAAAAAAATGCAGGGATAACTTACCCATTTGTTCTGTTTTCATATACGTTCCACTAGCCCTGCGAAGGCTGCAAAGAGAGATTGAGGGAAAAATTACATGGGAACAGAGGAATCCGTGACCAAAGTTGTACATGGAGGGACTACGCCGCTGTTGAGCGGAAATGTTTCTGCCAAAGCATATTTGCATAAACAGATCGTCTCCTTACAGACGGTAAATATTACGCTGACAGCGGCTGCAGCGTCTGAATTGTCCAGTCTGTACAACAGAGTCTGAAGCTTCATCAAAGTGCACCCAGAGACTCATCTTTTGCTGTCTATGTAATGAACATAGTATGTTTTACCCCCTCTTCTTCTTCACACGCATGCGCAGAGCACAGCTTTATATAGCATATGATATAGTACACGTTTGATGATATCGTGAGAAATCGAAAAGACGGGAAGGATGAAAGGAGACTCTGAGATTGCAATGAAAATGCAATCATTTGCAGTTAGACAGATATTCTTGTTTGGATGGAGTGTGATGCGGCAGCTCAAAGGCAGCCCTTCAGCCAGCTCTCCATATGGATTTGATTGACCACAGTCACTCGTCAAGGGATTCAATTGAAATACTGCGAGTGAATTACAAAGTGACTGCCCTTGATGTCTTCATATTGAAGCGCTCCACTCTGTAGCTTGAAGAATTATAAAAATGCAATGAGGAGACATACTGTATAAGCAATAAAACAAAATCGAGAATAAACATGATACATCAAATCTCTCCCGCTAAAAATTAGTCACCCAAACAAGGAAGGTTTGGCAGATGTAATGCTAGCGCTTAGCCACAGTAAGAATCCAACTGACAGAAAGGGAATATATATGTATACTTGAGTATTTCTTACAGTGTCCTCTGAGTTTTCATTCTCTTTGTGTGGATACCCAAGAGTGTATGTTTACACGAGTGCAAAAGTGTATGTCTAACAGCGTGTCACAGTAGCAGAAACTGCCGTGATACAGACCCACACAGCATGAAAAAAGAATGAGAAGAAGGCTCCCATGTGAGAAGCTAAAGCATGAAAGTGTGGTTTGTAGATCCTCGGTGGTGTGCAGCATGCACGCGAAATCAGCCGATTTGCAGGCATTGTCCAGACTTGCATAAAAATAAACAATTCAACAAACACTTGTTGAAAAGATGCTGAAGATGACTTTGTCAGATGTCTACACAAAGGTTGTTGGAAACTCCATAGACGACCAACAGATTTGAAGCCATCAGACCTCATTCAGCAAAGTAAAACGATTCTCATGGAAAGCAATATTTGCATGCAGATATATGTAAATCATGTAAACATTTTTACAAATATAAGAAGAAAAAATCTAAACTTTAGCATTTCAAGCAAGCTTAACATCAGCTTAACATTTGTATCTCTAAATTGCTCAGTAGGTAAACCTAAATCGATCAATTGTTTATATTGGGTTGAATTCAAGCCTTTGTTACAGCCCCAAAACACATTTTTCTCATTTTTCAATTTAGACTCAAAAGGGTGTTTAGTTTTGTTTTTTAAAGGCCAGCAGGTTGAGCTCAGAAAACAGTGTTCATGGTCCTCGGAGAGCACATTCAGCAGGTTTTAATGTTTGTTTGTTTTAACTTTGACAAGTATTAAAATGGCTGATGTTGTGCGCTTTGGTGCTCTTCAGGTGGGAGATGCAGGAGGGTGCACAGCTGGAAGATGGAGAGAAAGCGATGGTGGAGGAACTTGAGAAAGCTTTTTTGGGTTGCTGCTGCACCCCAGGACCACAGAACCCCCCTGAAGCTGATGAGACACCCGGAAAGCAGGCCCAGGGGAAAACACAACCATCTGCATCTGATGAAGGTTCTACCCCGTAACAGCCCACGCCGATGGATTTTTATTATTGTTTTTTTTTTTTATCACGTTGTAAAATATTTTTCTTGTAATATGCACTTGGAGCTCTCAAGGTATTACAGTGTGTATATATGTGGGGATGTGTGTTTGCACATTTGTAGGTGTAATTGGGTTTGCACATGTACTGAATTCTGCAAATTTGCATATGTGTGTGCATGAGAAAATGAGAGAGAGAGAGGGAGAGGGCAAGAAACAAAAAAGTGTGTGAGAGATGGTGCCTCCCTCTTTATACACATACCTCAGACAAACTCTCTGTGCTTTTCTGTGCTGCATCAGATGCATTTCATCTTTTTAGAGCACGCCGACAGAAATCAGTTCTGGGGAAATGGAGAGCCTGGATTTGTTTGCCTGGGACAAGATGGGACTGTGTGATCATTGTAGGTAGTTGAAGATTTTTTTTTTCCTTCCTTTTTTTTGAGACAGTGAGTGTAAAGACACTGATGTCAGCATACTTTCTCCTGGTTCCTGAAAGAAAACATCAATTTATTATGGTTGGGAAGCGAGATGAAGTATGTTTTGATAACAATGTGTCCTCCAAATCTGTCTGTCTATGAAATATCTGTCAGTATTTTCCCCATAAACTGCGTAACACAATTGTTCACTGTTTTTTTTCCCATATATGTCCATATTTTGTTACTTATGAGATGGAGACTGATTTTTTTAGAATTAAAAATGAAAACAAAGGCATAATCCTACCTCACCTGTGAATATTCTCCTTCTTTACATACAACCTGTATATAATATGTGATCTCTTTGAATCAGTGATTTATAATCTTTGTGATTATGATATTAGTATTATGTTTTGGAGTAGATATGTGTCCCCAATTATACCTGATGTTCAAAAAAAGAGATTTATCAACTCAAATTCTGTTCTTTTTATCTATAAGAGTGCAATTTCAGCTCACAAAGACTGCTACACACCCCAGTGTCTTTGAAACAGGAGGAAACCATTTCCTGTTGCAAAAAAACATGTTTCTTTTTACCCTTAACTAGATTATTGATGCAAATGTAGCAGGGTTACAATCATCAAACCACTTAGAGAATACAAAAGACAACAAAATCTTCATCAATCTATTTCTGCTTTTGTCACACACAAAAAAGGGCTAAACAAGAAGAAAACAACATTCTTCTTTCCTTTTTTTTTAATTTACTGTATTTAATGCACCAACAAAACAGTTTTATTATTGTTTTGCAGAAAAAATAATATATATTTAGCTAGCCAAATACATATTTTTTTTGATAACTGCTTTCTGCTCTCTGTTTTTCGAGCGCCTGTTCACTTATTAAATATGTATTTCCACTAGATTCAAGTGATAGACTCAGAAGACAAGTCTCAATGAAAGTGACAGTTAATTCACAACAAAGTATTATGAAAAAACAAAACAAAACATGTTTTATAATGCATATTTAGTTGGGGATTACCACACCTACATAATCCTTTTAGAATCCCTGATGTCTTGATTGCATGTGTAGAAAGAATGAGCCGTTGCAGCATTTTTAGTTTTGAATTGATTACTCTCAGTCTCGTGCATTTTCCACTGTAAATGCTCACCGTAGAATCTTTGTTTGCATGCTCATCCGTGTTTTCATCAACATGTGGTGAGCAACATGAAGAATATCTTTGAGCTAGAGCCGTACTATATATGTTTGTTCCTTATGTCAACTCCCAGCTCCTCTTTGGCTTTCAATTTCTAAACTGATGATGCATTTGTTAGACATTTCCGTCCCTCATGCCCATACGTGTGGTCCACTGCAAGCACAGACTGTCCATCTCCCTTGTCCTGTCACACTGAGTGATTATCCGTGCCACTTTTAGTTGTTATTTAGATCTCTCTGCGGTACTGCCATTGCTCTACTTGAGAAAAAAGATGAACTGCGACTCCCCAGAGAGACTGTTTCAATTCAAAGCCAATAAAAAGTAGGACACCAGTAGGACATCTGCAGCAAAAAGTGTGAAGTAAAGCTGCAGGCACCTGATTCAGGTGAGCAGTATGTGGCAGATATAGTAGTTTTTTAGTAAATCACCTGTGACATAGTATCAGTATCAGTCTGGCAAGTCTAGTTTCAATCAAGTTACCCTCCTTTCCCTTTGGATATACTGTAACAGGCTCTAAACAATGTCACTTTCTCATGTTTTGTAAGAACAGTCCTGTGTCCGAGTGCACCAAGGAGTCAGACTAAACTAGAAAAATGCTTGAGAACTGCCAGTCCATTTGATATTACACATTTCCAACAGCTTTTTCCTACAGGACACCGATGCCTATGGGTACGAGGTGAAGAATCAAAAAAGGGTTACTTCATTATGTTAAACAGGACAAAAGGTAAGATGTAACACATTAGCAAAACAATTGTGTCATTCTGAGAGCTGCTGACCACTGCTGCCCTGAGCCTTTATTGTTATTATTATTATTATTATTAGTAGTAGTAGTAGTAGTAGTAGTAATATTTTATTTTATTCTTTTTACTTTTTGTTGTTAAAATGTTTCTAATCACACTTTACATCAATTTTAAGTAAAGTAAAGGTTAAGTTATCCTCATACAATGGTCCAACATTCACCATAAACTAACATCTCTTAGAGTATTATCCTCCTGCTTCTATAATTATATACACTACTGTGCAAAAGTCTTGAGCTACTTGATTGTTTGTTTTTTATTGAAAAAAAATCTTCCTCCAGATTTAACAATGAATATCTTCTTATGGACTCAAAGAAGTTTTGCTGAAAAACTGAATATGGAACAAGCAAAGCTTAATACTAAACAATATATATATAATCGGTATATAACAGTTGGCCAGCTCTAATAATAATTTTGTATGGCTTTGCGGGCCAAATTAAATTAGGCTGCGGGCCAAATTTGGCAAAAAATGTCCATAGAACTTTGAAAATCCTTTTCCTGTTGCTCAAGACCACTTAATACCACAAACAAATAAGTGAGAATCTGTTCCTTGGAGCAAAATATATAGAAACGAGATGTGACTCAGAACGTTTGCACAGGACTATATGGTAACAGACCTGAATGTGTTTAAAATTGAATAAAGAATGCATTTTATGTACCCCAAAGACACAAAAGCACACATTCAGTCAGCCCGTTAGTTTATGCAGAGTTTTGAGGACAAACTTGTAGGCATCACACAATACCATCAGGGAGGTGTTGACTGGTCCACAGGTATCCTCTCTCTTTTTTCAGTAAGACTGCAGCAGACGCTATGGCCCACACAGAGTTACTGTGTACACAGATACAAATACTTAACAGGTAGCACGACCACTACATCATGACTTGACTATTGCTTGTTTATCTGCATACAGATCCTTATATGACTTTACTGATGAATATGCTTTTAATAATAATGGATTGCATTTATATAGCGCTTTTGGAGAACCTCAAAGCGCTTAACAATTCCACTATTCATTCATTCTCACATTCACACACTGGTGGAGGCAAGCTACAGTTGTAGCCACAGCTGCCCTGGGGCAGACTGACAGAAGCGAGGTTGCCATATCGCGCCGTCGGCCCCTCTGACCATCACCAGTAGGCAGTAGGTGAAGTGTCTTGCCCAAGGACAAAACGACCGAGACTGTCCGAGCCAGGGCTTGAACCGGCAACCTTCCGATTACAAGACGAGCGGCCAACTCTTGAGCCACGATCGCCACACTGTTATGGGAATAGTGTATTATATTTTTGTACTATTGGATATTTTGCGAACTATAGTTGATTTATTAAATATAAATCAACACAGGGTTGCATATTTGCTCGATCAACTATGCTCCTATCACCGAGCAATACAGAGTTAGGATCAGAGAACTGATGGCAATCACACGCCAGAGAACATCTGTACAAGTTCCTGCAGCTGCTGTGCTACTGTCTCTTTAAATGGATCTTCCAGTCCGTTGCCCCGGTAACCCGGAAGCCTCACGCGCTCCATGCAGCATTGCCGAGAGTCCTTCCTGTTTTACAAAATTACAAGGAAGCAGCAACAACTGGATAGTCGCATACCCTGCTAATGGTGCGTGAGTCGAAATGAAAGTATGCATGCATCCGCTGTAAATAGCGGTTCCCTGCTCGATCCTCTCTGCTTCGTTTGGTTAAAATAAACGTCTAATAAAAACACGAATATCCTGCTGTACCCGCTCGCAGTGGTCCATCTAGGGGGCTGGCTCTTTTTCAGGGGATTTCTTTCTCACAGAGCATAAACAGATGTTTTCTGTTGTGGAGAAAATGACGGAGGAGTCAGAGAGAGTTATACGTGTGAAAATGAATGCCGCTTTTGTAGTAACTTCAGCGCAGTTTTAAAGGAAGAAGAATTTCTCTGTGTTTGCATATTTAACTCAGCTGTTGCACGTGTGCTAAGTGGGCAACACGACTTCCTCCATGTTTTATGGTATTATGGCTGACAGATAGCTGCAGTGTTGTGTTATTATAGAGTAACTAATCACTAATTCATTCTCTTTAAGAAACTGGGAGATTGTTGTGTTTACAGGAGAGCAGGACGGAGCAGTAACATCCCGAATGTTATGGCCTGCTGCAACCTTATAGGTGCAGCATGCTGTGACCCAATTGCTATTGTGGTCTTACAGAGGGCTGATACTGAGAAATATTTTTATATATGGTACTAACTCAACTCATGCCCAATTCTTGGTTTTATTCTTTTTATTGCGTCACTTGACAGGATTCACCTCAGTGATCACTGGGAGGAAAGGACCCATGCTCTCTCATTTTTGTGCTGCAACACCAGCCCTGTTCATATTGTGGATCATCATGGCCCAGGTTGCTGGCCAGGAAGATAGAGAGAAAACTACTGCACTCAAAGGTGAATTATTATTAATAATGATAACACTAATAAAGAATCATTTAAGGAGAATTAGTAAAACAGAGGGAAACAGGCTTTACTTTTCTGAACCAAATTAAGGTCTTTTTCTTCTATTTTGACCTAACGGCAGGCACACCATCATTTCAGACTCAATACCACACACATCAATAAGATTATGAGCTGTAATAAAATGTCTTTAAAAAAAATATATATATATATATAATTAAATTATATATATATAATTCTTAATTAAAAAAGAACAAATAAAAAGCTTTCTTAAATGATGGGAAATAGTTTAAAAGCGTGGTTTAAAACAGTGGTTCTTTAAATGTAAGAAAGAGAGCCACTGCATTTAGGATGAGAACAGCTAGGGAGAAATATACAACTTAACATGCTATATTCTTTCTTTAGGGAAAATTAAAAACTTGCTGATGCTGTTATGCTGACCTTTACTGACTGACTCCATTTACTAAAAGTGATTAATTTTAGTAAATGAACCAAAACTATGAAAGTATGAATCAACTATAAAAATATATTCAAACTATAAAAATATGAATTGACTTGAAAGGACCAAAAGGTTTGGGCATCTGATTAGGATGCCTCCTGGACAGCTCCTACGTGAGTTATACCCTACTGGGAGGAGGCCCAGGAGAAGTCCCCCAGGATGAGGTGGAGGAGGTGGCTGGGGTGAGGGAAGTCTGGGCTTCTCTGCTCAGACTGCTGCCCCCACGACCTGAACCTGGATAAGCATCAGAAAATGGATGGATGGTTGGATGGCTCAACCTTGATTAATTTTATTGTTCAAGATTAATAAAAATCATGGTGTGTTCGGTGTGAACCTTTACCTTGCCAGTCATGCCAGAAGTAGTTTGAGAGCCCTTAAAGTGTAACAGTGACTGATCACCTTTATACTATGATGAAACCTTTTTATTCTGACTGGAGCCACCCTTCTCAGGGGTCAGGGGGTCACTTAATGGTTTTATAAAACTGCTGTGTAATGACACAGTGGTTCTTTGTTCAGTGTGCATGCATGGCCCCTTCTCCCTGGGTTGGTCATTCTAAATTGACCATACATTTGGCCTAGAGTGTCTTAACTCTATGTTAGTCCTCTTAGCAATTGTCCAGAGTGTACCCTGCTTCTTGCGACAGTTGGGATAGGCTCTGGTCCAACCATGATTTTGAACTGGATAAGTGGAAGAAAATTGCTGGATGGTTATACATCACCCCAGTAGACTGCTGAATAACCACATGTCAGTTTTACACCTTACCAAGACATTTTATGGTATCTCTCTGTTAGGATATGTTAAACATTTGTCTCTTGAACTTAAAACTATACTTAATGTATATATTGCATGTATTGTATGTGAATGCTCTCTTTTCTACCCACTATACATCTTAATGATGATTTAAGAAGACCTTTTAGTTTAAACACGCATCTGTTGCTTCGTCATATGGGGATAATGAAAGTAAAATGTACATAGTGATTTCATCATTGTGGGAGAGAAACGGAGATTACAAAATGAATGTGTGGATTTTGTATAATGCAGATAAGTGGAAAAAACGGATGGATGGATGGAGTTTGTGTCATTGAAATAAAATCATTTGCTTTTTTTTCCACAGATTTGCTGTCAAGAATAGACTTGGATGAACTGATGAAGAAAGATGAACCTCCTTTCACTTTCCCCAAAACCTTGGAGGAGTTTGAGTATGCCTTTAATGAATGTGAGTGCATAGATTTACTTTTTAGAACAAAAGCCAAAAGTGTCATGATGAGCTCCACGGTTTGACCAGTTACACAAAGCCTGCTGCCGTAACAAAAAACACCAAATCCCATGACATCTAGAGATGTCAAAGATGACAAAGATTAGATGAGTTATGCTATTTTTTCTAGTCTACTCGTAGCCTTCTTTGCTGACACGTGCACAGTTCTGTAGTGTCATAGCGTCATGGATGAATCTGCATGGTCACAACAAATTGAATGGCACACTGACTTTCACACAGATCCCGATAAGAAAATTTAGATCACTCAAACCCAAGGGAGAGAGATACAGAAAGTTTCTCATTGCCATAAGTAACACTGCAGACAGCATAGACATAATTCTTTAACGGAGGTGAATGTGTTACATTTTATCTGGATTGAGGAAAAAACTCTGTAAGGTCTGGAAGTAAATTCCAGGGAAATATACAAGGCTCTGTCTTTCACGTGTCAGCTGTAGTGGTTTCCAATGACGCCTTAAAATAAAGCAATGTGTGCTTGTAACTTTTTGTTGCAAACTGATGAAATCCACCAGTAAGCAAATTTTGTAAAAGTCAGGTCAGATTTGTGTTAAAAAAAAAAGAAGGTAATACTTTTTTCTGCCTTGATTTACTTCTTTTGTCGTCTTGTGATCCGTGAGATTAAACCTTAGAGTGCTAGATGGGTCATGGTCTTCAGGTTGGGGAACTGGAATCATTACCGTTCGCTTTTGTGTTATGTCAGCATTTTATATTTAATGACAATGTCTCTTTGAGCAAGTAAAGGTGTATGTCATTCAACATTAGAGTAAGGAGCAGAGCTGAAGCCAAAGTGGTGTGGGTGTAAATGATATGAAAGTCTCTTTAGGATTCTCTTGGCTTGCTTTAATCAAACCAGGTGGAGAAAAGGGGAAGAGCTGGAAAGGTAGTAGTGCTCGGGATTTTGGCTTAGTATTCCTTTGTAGCCTTTTCCTCTCTCTCTCTCTCACCCTCTTTCTGTTCTCTGTCAGTGTCTCTACTGGCTGTCTGTCTGGCTGAGTGGGGGACATGTTGTGTACTCTACGGCCCGTCAGTAACCTACTCAGCCTTGCCCTCTGCCTGACGGAGCATTTGCATAACCTCGCTGTGCCTAAGAACAGAGACATGGAGACTTAGCCCCCACCGGCTATTATGCCAACACCCGCCAACCACTCTACCCCACCCGCAAGTCCCAGCTCAGTCTACCATGGAGGCAGAAACACATTCAGAGACTCTCCATCTCCTCTTCCTCCTCCTTCTGTCTCCTTTCATCCCTTTTTATATCCCTTCTTCTGTATTTCTCTATTTTCACATCCTGTGTAAAATCTCCAGCTGAAGAAGAGCTTGCTCTCTCTCTCACACACACACAGACACACACACACTGCGCAGCCCTACCAATCTGTATGTCTTGTCAGTTTCTACTCAGGCCTGTTTTTGAAGGATAGCATTTCTATTAAAGCCATGGTGGCCCTCAGGCAATGTCTCTAGTATGTCGACACACAGTCGCTCTGGCTTGCAGGCATTTATATAGCTGCTCTCGGGCTACTTTAGCCAGAGACAGGTGGAACAAAAATGTTAATTTGACCATGTAATGATGTGAATACAGAAGAGGCTGTGTACAATAGTTTGCAGGTATCTTAATCACTGAAGATGATGGCTTCATCTTGCTAGCCCTGCGGTTTTCCATTACTGGAAATCCAAGGTTATGTACACCTAATTAAGCGGCCAAATTGAGAACAGAATGCTAATTATGACAGAAAAAGAGGAGAAAAGTTGAGAAAATGTTATTCCTTTGAGAGGATGTGATGTGGGAGACGGTGGAGCTGATCACCCCCAGCCCATGCATGCACACACACAGACACACACGCACCTACACAGACACACACACACACCTTTGCTACTGTAGGATTTCATTATAGCTCCTCTTTTAGGAAGTAGTGTTTAGATCCTCACCCCTCCACGAATGCATAATTGATTTTTTTTTTTCAAAGTACTTTTTGTGCACACTGCTTTATCCTAACTTCTTGTGTACCTCTCAGGCACAAATCTATTTTTTAATGCAAAGCGACACCGAACCTGCATTCAGGATTACAGGTTGTCTAACAAGTAACTATGAAAGCGAATGTTGTTATATACAGTGAGCTAGCAATGTACGATTTATCACATTGATAGAGGTGTGGTGGCAATTTAGAAGGAAATGAAAAAAATGCGCATTCTTTTATCTTGCAAAGATTTATTTATTTATATCTTAGATGGTTTTTACGTTTTGCAATAATTGAGAAAATATGAGAGCCCCCTGGCTATTTGGGTTAAGTATGTGTACTTTTTGTGGCTTAGCTCTTACAATTTTTGTAGTCATAAAGGTCAAAATTAAATTTAACACTGTTTAGTGTTTTATTGTGTTGTAGTGTCAACTGGAGGATCGATGGGCTCATTGCTAAGGTAGGGGTTCCACAGCCACATGAGGGTAATTGCTGAAAAAAGTAGATCCATTTCTGAACACTGTTTTTGTATCTTAGGACTGTTTTGCATTAAATACATCTTGAATATACTAAAAGCTCCCCTCGTTTCCTTGAATTATAATAAATCACTTAAGCATCGTTCCAAAGACTTTTCGTTTTCTCTGTCAATTCTTTTGTGTAGTAATGGCGGTGTGGCTTACTTGTAGCAATTTACGGCAGCGCAGATACTTAAGTGACACCTACTGTATTCCCACACCTGGTCCTCCTGGCTGGAGCTTCTGATCTGTGTGGGTTTTTGTGTGTGTGTAAGCTCTACTGCTTAGGGTGATTGGCTGATGCCCAGACAACATCCTCAAAGGAACTACGAGGAGCAGTTGTCGTTGTGCCTAATGCTTGCCAGCCGAACTTTCTCCCTTCATGCTCACACGCATACACAAAACATACTGAGAACCTTTCCCACACCCACTTTAGTCTTTGCTCTTGGAGATTTCAGGTGGAAAAGGCAGGGACAGAACTGTGGCCTGTCGCCAGAGTGAGCACTGAAGGAGAGGGAGAGGGAGATGGGCACTGTTAAAGAGGAAGGGGAGAGGCTTTTTAGATGAGTGAAGAGACAGAGAGAGGGAAAGAGAATTTTTACCATACCAGCTGTCCAGCTCTGGCCTGCCAGACAACCCAGAAGGCTGTTGGAGTCGTGACTGGAAGAATGCTGCTGCATCCATGGGCCTTGTACCTGCCAGATGGGGGGGGGGGGGATAAAAAAATAAGCAGTAAAAAAAGTCAAGTTTAGTTTGGCAGGCAGATGTACGTTTTGATGTGCCATCAAGAGCAGGGATTCGCCTACTTTACTTGCACGCTGTAATAGAAATAATAGAAAGGTATTGTTTATTATTATTACACGTCTCTTTTTGTCCCATTACATTTTTTTCCAACAGATGGCCAGCTCCGCCATATAAAAACGGGTGAAACCTTTGTGTTCAATGCCAGGGAGGATCTCCACCGCTGGAACCAGAAACGCTATGAAGCTCTTGGAGAGGTAACACACTGCTTTTTCTGCTGGCCTGCCAGTTCATAGTATGCTTTATTATACTTCAGTTGGGCCATATTGATCAAGTTTGGCTTCAGCTGCTGAGCTTATTAGGATTATCTGTCTGAGAAGATGTTGCACTGGTTGTTGTCTGTTTGGACAGCAAATAGGCTCAGACTGACACACAAAGCTATAGGCAACTAAAATACAGAATGTATTCTAAGCACTTCTTTAAGTAAGCACTTTGAACTTGCTCTACAAAGACAGGCGATAGAATCTACAGCCGCTGAGTATAGTAAGTTTTTTGTTCACTTTACATTAAAAACATACACAGGGTGTATCAAAAAGCATAATCTAATTTTTAAAAAAGCTCATTTTATTAGCCATAAAAGCTTGTGGTAAATTTAAAAATTCTTTCTGAATATAAAGTTTTACATGTAAAACTTGTAGTGTTCAGAAGTGCTCAATGTGCCCCCCTCCAGACACATGGCACAGGTCCATATAATAGTCAAACCCGTCCCATACGTTTGTGAGGATTTCTAGAGTCCCTGCTGTTGGGATCCCACCTATCTGCAAACATGTGAAATTTACAAGTCCCCTGTTTTGATCTCCACCGGTAAACAGCTGTGCAATTAAAGCACTTTGAAATCGGGAAATTCTTTTTGATATACTCTCTGTATTAACAATGAATCTTAGCCTTTTTAAACCAACGCTAATGTTATCTCGTTTAAGCTAAAACAAAAATCTCACAATAGCATACTTTCACAACTTTCAGTCTGAAGCTGTTTTTTGTGGCTAATTTTGGTATTTGTAGGGATTGTTGGCGTTGTGACATCACTACTTTAGGGAAATAATACTTTTAAGTTCAGTTTTTGTTGCTCAGTTAACGTTGGAGCTTGTTTTTCTAGCATTACGTAGTGAGGGACTCACATCATGATGTAAGCTTTCTGCCAAACCTAAAGCTGAACTTTGAGAAGCAACTTGAAAAAGGTATAGGTAGTCTCATTTTCTTCAGCTGATAATCATCCTCTGACCTGAAAACATTATGCTTTGGTCCCTTTTAGGATATTGCTTTACACTACTCGCTGTAAAAACAAAGTTATTTGGTTCGAAACATGGAAGTCTGGCACCCTGTAGATTCACACTCCTTTTACTGCTTTTCATGATCTTGTACAAATGAATTCATATTTTTATTATATTTCTCAGCATGACTAAAGACTTGTCTTTAAGTTGAATCAATTGTATTTATTTTTAAGAATCTTGATTTTATAACTGTGATGAAGCCTTTGTGATGATATTTTTTTTCATTTTCTCTGATCATTGCACGGTTTCACCTTGGAGTGAATTTGCTGGTGTATCGACTCCTGGAAAGATTGTGGTATTGTGTTAACAGACATCCGAATGCTCCACACCAGCAAACTGGCCACACTTCTCCATTTAAAGACGTGGTCACACTTCCTGATAATCAGTTCATCAAGTGCATTTGATTTGTGGCACCTGGCTCCTACTTACCCTCTTAATTGGGGTGGCTGTGGCTCAGGAGGTAGAGCAGGTCCTCTTCTAATTGGAAGGTTGGTAGGTTCGATCCCTAGCTGCTCCAGTCTACATGCCAGAGTGTCCTTGGGCAAGATACTGAATGCCGAGTTGTGCCCAATGGATTCAGAGTATAAATGTATACAAATAGATAGGAGTGGGTAGTGTTAAATACTGCTTGTGTGAATGTGTATGTAAATATGTGGTGTGTTGGATAAGCAGAGTGTACTTCGTTTTTCACCAACCTCCATAGTGTCGTATGAAAACTTTCTTTTTCATATGACTGCGTATAAATGTTAAGTGGTCATTAAAAATGCTCTCAAGTATGATTTGTTACACAGACCTTCCAAACAACACTGTGTATATCTGTGCAAGTAGATCACAGCCTCTCACTCAACTGCGTAGCCACAGAGAGCAGTTTGTTTATGGTGGGAGAGGAGACTTTACACTCATCTGTAGGTTTCGGTGACTGTTTGTCCAAAAAGTCACTAGATGTGTCACTAGGTACTTAAAGGCACCTTTTGTAAAATCTCACCACTAGATGTGAGCAGATTGCAGTCAGCTGAATTCTGTTTTCTCACCCCTCCCAATTCAAAATACAAAATACATCTGTACTAAGTGTAGACTGTCAGTCTGCTGTTTATCTCAGCTGTCATTACGTGTCCACGTCTATTTACTTCGGGGGAAGCTATAAAACTTTGTGAATGGAGCTCGATACAAGTTGACGAGTCAGTAAAGTTCATGGCTGTTCAATGACAGCAATACTGAGGTGATTTGTTGAAGATATCCTGAGCTTTTTTATCGGCAACTGTTGAGCTGTTAGCTGCTGTTAGCCTTTGTTAGCTGCTGTTAGCTTGACACTATTGGGCTTGGACAGTTAGCAAAGAGGAGGAAGAGAATGACATGATATGTCAGTCGCGTTGTCTATTTCTGTTTTCACTTCTTTGGTGAAGGGGACCTCTTCTCAGATGTTAAAACATCGATATGATCCTTCATATCGTAGAGTCTGATGATGCAGACCCGAATTAAAATGAATGTTCTCTTCTCCTCTGTCTGTGTCGTACTACGCATGTGGCCAGTCTCTAGCCACATACATAAAATGCAGAGAGGTAATGATAGTGTCCATCTCAGTCACTGTATTTTCAGATGGTGGGGCAACATGGCGGCTTTCACAAACTGGTGTCTGCTCCTATGCATTTCTAAGATCCATAGGAGTATTTCTAATTACACACTAATAATTGTATATTTATGAATACAATTTTATTTTTTCTGTTAAATAAACAAAAAAAAACTGACAGTACCTTTGAAAGAATTTTGCTTTAACGAAAGGCATTATTTAAGCAGAGCTCAATATTTTCTGTGGAGCTCTTTGATGCACCTTTTTTGGATATGCAGAATATTTTTTCTGTATATCCAAACATACACCATTATAAAGTTCACCTCTAATTCACTCCCACTGTTCCACAACATACAATATGCATTAAGATAATGAGACAAATGTTCTTTTGTAATCTTTTTCTTTTTTTTCTTTTTGTAATTTGCATTCCCTACTATGTTGCTTTTAATTGTTGTGAACATTCTTTGAAGTTCAAAGCAAAGTGATAGACCTGTTTGTGGGATTACCTGTTTTTTTTTTTAATGCTGTATACAGTAGCTCCTTTGAGAGCCGTCTGTAAATCCCCCCCCCCCCCTTTTCTTTTGAATGCTTGGGCGCTATCTACCAGCATCTAAAGAGGATGTAGAAACAAACATTTGGTAGCAGGAAAGCAAAGGCCCAGAAAGAACACACAGATATTTAAACCAGCTGAACTCGAGCATCTGAGGGGGGCCAAGCATTCAGATGAAGCAAATAATCATCAAGCACAATGTATGCAAATTTTATTCATCCTGTGATTAAAAAAAATTGACAGTTATATCTTCTTCAGAGAAGGAGAAAGGAAATAGTGTCAATCCCTGTTGATGTGAGCTTGTGTAATGAGAACAAATACTGTATGAGTTGTGCTTCGGGAGATTAACTGGCTAAGAAGAAAGGAGCACTACCTGAATAAGCAATATTATCTGTCTGTTGTTTTTAGGCCACAGATGATTCAAGAAAATGAATACTGTACCTCTCATACAGCTTTGCAAGTACAAATGCATTGTTTTTGCTGGGAAGAAATATGCTCCATTATAAATAGACACAACTACTGAATTGTATGCCTTTGGTTGTAAAAGTAGGTTATGGTGCTTAGTCAGCCTCTTTATGTGTGGGTTTAAGGATGTGCGTGTGTGTATGTGTGTGTGTACAAAGCCATACCTGTATGCTTATTTATGCAACTGTATAGCCAATGCATGCAAATGTATTTCTCCTTGAATTCTTACTGCATGCTCTTGTTTGTTTGTGTAGTCGTTTCTTTCAACACTATCATCCTGTTCTTTATGTCAGACAGAAGACTTTTTGCAGATGTCATGAGGGTAAATGTGGAACAACACTCTATGCAGACAGCTCTGTTATAAGCCAACTCCACTCCACAACACACCCTAATGCCCTCTATCAGCCAGCCACCTGAGACGGTCTGAGAACTAGCTACATTCAGCCCAAGAGCTGTGTAAGATGGCACAAGGACATGGGTGCATGTGTTTGCCCCTGGCAGTGTGAATAGAATAGCTTCATCATTGCCCCCTAATGTTCAATCAAATTCCTTTCTCTCCCTCCCTTTCTCCATGCCTCTGTCCATTTCTCCCTCTCTCCTTCCTTTCTTCCTTTTACCATCACTGTATGCTCACAGTTCTGCATTTTGCGTGGAGGACTCCTTGTATGTGCACGTGCATTCGTGTGTCTGTGTGCGCGGAGGCGGGAGGGTGGCGGCTGTATTGTCAGACACATCACAGCACCAGATGTCCAATTTGCACTTCAGCCTCGTCTGAATGGAGGGACAGATAGAAAGAGGGAGAACGAGAATGTTGGTGTGATGGCCTCCAAGCAAAAGAAAGAGATGGGAACAAAATTTTGGTTGAGCACAAGAGCAGCAAATATTTTTTTATGTATAAAAAAATCATTCCGAATTTCTGCCATATAATCATGGTATTATGTAGAGAGATTTGCAGATGGTATGTGAGAGAAGTTCCACCAGTCCACTTTGTTCCGAGACCATTGGTCATATTTCTCTGCATATGAGTGAGGGGGGGAAATACGTGCCTGGGCTGTGGTTCCAAAATCAAGAAATGCTACATAAGGTTAGATAGCGCCCTGATTTTTAGATCTAGTAAAATAAATGAAATACTTCTAGTACGCTATATAGCAGACTTTTAGTAGAAGGTTATTCCTCAGATCCATAAATTGAAAACGTTTAAATGTACTCAAGAAGCATCTGTTTATTAATAATATGAACTATGTTTTGTAAGGGAAGCTAGGTTATTCTGTACAGATAGGACTGGAGAAACTCACCTGAAAACCCCACACGCTACTGGTATAGTGACATTTCCCATTTTTGGCT